TTTCTAAAATCACTGAAAAACTTCTCCATTGTTTACCAACTGTAAACATGTTGTCGTGACCACCACAGAAGGCCCCGCCTTAGCTGGATTTGTTGTCTAACAACACTTTATTTTTTAGACACTATTTAAAGATACATTCCAGTGATCAAGTCCAAAATGTTTTTCCATCTGACATGATTTAATATGTTTTTATAACAGGACCAGCAGCATCCAGCTCCACTGTGACACCAGCTCCGTCTGCGAGCACCAGCCCACTCTTAGAGGACTGATTGAGCTCCACAGGCGATGAGGCAGGACTGGTCCACACTGTGTCTTTGCTCCATACTGTTACAGAGAAGGCTTCACTCACTGGAGGTTAAATGAAAGTTAAATGATGTGTCATTGCACAGACACACTGTTTATGTGTCAGTGAGAGAAGAGACATCTGACTGAAGGACAGAAGAGACTCTGCACGTCTGTATAAAGACAGTAAATCAAACATCCACAGTCACTTGTACATGTGAGCTTATCAGCCGACTGAAATATTTCATGATGTTACATATTGCAGAGTAATGGTTGTGTTTCCATGCACACTCATGTGTTTAAACGTCATACATGTCAGTGCATCAGGTGGGTTGTTGTATATATTCATACATCACAGAGACGGTAAAGATGTGTGTTGATTCATAATTAATAGGGCTGTCAAGTGATTAAAGAAAATCTAATTATCGACCTCCTCTGTGATTAATTCATCTGAATTAACTGAAAGTGTTTTAAAAATGATCCTTCAATTGAATGTTGTCAGACGTGTCGTAGTGAAGCTGCTGGATGTTGGACACAGTTGTCCCCTTGTCCTCGACCACCCAAACTGTCTGCAGTCCATTCTGTGAGGGAGTCCGTGAGTCGGTCACAGGTAGACTGACTCAGTCTGACCACCTGGTCCAGGCTGGCTGCTAGCGTTAGCATCAGAGGCTGTGCTAGCTCAGACCTCTGGGTCAGTGTGGTCACTTATATGTAGCAGCCCAAAGGCGTCAAATACAGGCACGCTAAAAGCTGCACTGACAAAGCAGCGATATGTGATGACTTGAGATGACAACTTGTTGCTTGTAGTTAATCGATCATCTTTTAAAACAGGAAGATAAATTATGACAAATGAATGAATGTGAAACTGATGCAGCTGTCTCTGTGGTTCATTGATCACAAAAGTCCAGTTTCACATATTAAAATGCTCAGTTTGTATTTTTGTCTCCACACACATTTAAACTTTTATACATGAGTGTGAATTTAAAC